CACAGTCGCAGGGGGGCCATCAGGTGAGAAATTGGGGATCAACAGAGGTGAGGCTCAGAACCTCATCCCCCCTGCTTTGAGAGAAATCTTCTGCATCCGTGGATGGTTTATTGCCCTTGTCTAGCTTGGATTAACACATAGTCTACAGGCACACACCTAATCATCTACAATTGCTCTCCTACAACACTAAACTATGTTTTCTACCTTTATCTTGCATCTACCTACCACTTCAGCATTTTATTAAAAATAAAAATAATAATAATAATAAAGGGAGAAATGAGGGATCAACATATAAATCAAGTATAAAAATCAAATGAATATTCATGTTTGACCTGATTGTTTATAGGTCATAATGCGTGATCAAAACCGAAAGTTTCTGTGATGAATGCCCTTGTACTGTTCACCATGTAAGAATTTATTCACTATGTAAGAATTCATTCACCATGTAAGAACTTGTTCGTTATGCTTCAGAAGATTGGAGACTGACGAGAGTTAGGCTTGAGATGGATTAATGATTGTACATTGAGCATTGACCCCCCTATACTGAACTTTATCGTTGTTAACAACCATTTGATCAATAAATATGAGAGATGCCCTCTCAAAAAAAAATATATATATATATAGGATGCACAATTTTGAATTTCAGATAAACAAGTAATATACCAAAAAATATAAAATTATTTGTTGTTTATCTGAAATTCAAGTTTAACTGGGCATCCTGTATTTTATCTAGCAACCCTAATTAATATACAACCCGGGAGCATTTCCTCATTCTAATGTAAAGATTGTAACTACATTGGGGTACAGACATAGGTTCTCCATTGAGGCCATGGGAAATACCTCGGGGCCACTCCCTTAGCAGGGCACCTTCCAGTCAATCTCAGTGCCATAATGTACAGACCTGAATAAAATATTGATCAGTATATTCATGTTCTGCCATTCATTTGAAGATTTTAGGAAGAAAACTTCAATATTCTCCCTTTTGTAGTCCACACAGTTTTAGAACTGAGCTCTCTCCTAACACCGGGAGGTAGGACATGGTATAAAATGAAAACATGCAGAAAAAGAAAGTTATTAATGACCAATAATAGTAATTTTCCATTTGGTTTGAAGGCTGAATGAAGGTTTCTAGGATTTCCTGACTTGCCTTTTTGTTAAGATTTCTCAGAACACAAAGTAAACAAGAAAGAAGACTGCCACAAGGAAACTAATTTTAACAAATCACAATAGGTTTTGCAGTATATTTGAGCAGTCATCATGGCCAGGCATTGTGCTAGGAAAAAGGAATTGTGGGAGATAGTGACCATTTCACAGAGAGGTTATATTACCCTCAACTGCCAAACTGGCTTAGATTTCCCCGCTGGGAGCTCTGTATTTATTCTTCAAAATTTATCACAGCTCAAATGACTTGTACTTCTATCTTCTCATTAAATCACTAGTCCTGTGAGGACAGGGGCACCTGCCTTATAAATTATTGTATCCTCAATGGCTATCCTTATGTGTGTAGTTACCTATTGCTGAATAATAAATTATCCCAAAGTTTGGCATCTTATAACAATAATTATTTATTAACCCTCACAGTTTCTGTGCACCAGGAACTAAGGGCTCAGCGCAGCTTGTCTCTCCTCCACAATATCTGGGTTCTGGAAGACTAAGAGGCCAAGGGCTGGAATCATCTAAAGTCTACTTCACTCACATGCTTGCTGTATGATGCTGGCTCTTGACCAGAACACTTACACATGGCCTCTTTTTATGGCCTGGGCTTCCTTACAATATGGAAGCTGGTTCCAAGATCCAGTATCAAGAAAGAGAGAGGGAAATAGAGAGAGACAGAGAGAACAGGAGAACCAGGCAGAAGACATGTTGGCTTTTATGACTTAGCACTGGAAGTTACAGCACAGTATCTCTTCTGGCCCATTGTATTGATTAAGGCAGAAAAGACCACCTTGGTAAGCCACCTCTCAGTAGATGATTGTCATTATCAGAATGTGGAAAGAGAATGTATTATGTGGTATATATGAATACAGTTATCTTTGGAAATTACCATCTGTTATTCTGTATCTGCTACATAGTCGGCATATAGTAAATGTTTAATGAATAAATAAATGAACTAACAAATGAACAAATTGGCCTTAAAGAAAATTGATAACAAATGAACAAACTCTGGACCTTAAGAAAATTGATCTCTAAAACTTGATAGAAAAAAGAAAAACTTGAAAAGTTTAATGTCTTATGGATGGCTTCTAATAATAATAAGGTAAATTCATGCTTTAAGACAATCCCTCTGCTCCACACACAAACCACTGATATATAAATAGAAAAAGAGAAAAGGGAAAGATACTCACAAGATCAAAAACAAGGTAACTCCACCAATCAAGAGTGGAACAGAACCACAGAGCATTCAGCCTGGGTGGGCTATATTCAGTCCCACAAGCAGACATAGGTGGTAGGAAATTTTCCTCCTACGGGTAATGGTACTAAAAATGTGCCACTCAGGAGAGCTTGGGACAGTGCCCACTGCTCGAAACCAGAGATGCTGGACTAGTCTTCCCTGCTAAAGAAAAAAAGGTGGAGGAAGCTGCTACACTTACTCTGCGAGACGACAACACATCTAAGGTTCCCTACAGGAGGATACTGCCTCTGATCAGGAAGGAACCAAGCCAGCTGCTCACTTAGTGACTGGATTGGCAACATCACCAGTAACACAGCACAGGGAGTCCATACTGCCTATGTAACACCTGGTTTAGAGACCTCAGGGGCCTGATGGATGCACCTATTAACCACTGGACAGACAGGCATAGCCTGGTGGGAGCTGAAGTGTGAAGACCCTCCAACTCAGTGAAGAAGCATAAGGCTGCAAGAGTTCTCTTCTCCCACATCAACAACCTAAAGATGAACTTGCCCAAGATGAAATTCACATAATAAAGTGAGGTGAAAAGGCCTTTAAAATAAGTGTGATTAAGATTCTCATTCATTAAAAAAGAAGAAATTGTGAAAGAAAAACAGAATCAAAGACATGTCAATATGAAAATCAGTCAATTAGAGGTCATGAAAATGAAAAATAGCCACTAAAGTGGCTTTTTTTAAGCACTCATTAGAAAGACAAACATCAGACTGCAATGAAGAATTAATGAGTTGAAAGAGAATCTTAATCAATTCACCCAGAAGTGGAAAACTCAATTCATCCAGAAAGCAGCACAGAAAAAAAATAAAATATTAAAGAGGAATTTAGAGAAATGAATGACAGCTTGAGAAACTCCAACATACATCTAATTAGAGTGAACAAAGAAGAGAATGGAGGGGACTGAAGAGAAGCAGTATTAGAGGAAAAACTGCAAAGTGTTTTCTAGAATTGAAAAAAGGCATGCATCCCCGTGTTTTAAACATACCACGTGAGAGAAATAGCTATAACTCCCTAATAACATACATTTTATGTGAAACTGCATAAAATCCAGGGTAAACACAAAAATTTTTGTAAACAGCCAGAGGAAAAATTATCCTATAAGATTACATATAAATGATTAGAATATTCAATAATCCATTGCTTGTAATAGGGGAAAATGGAAAAACTAAAAGTGTTCATAAAAAGGAGGACAGATTTTGTAAATAGAGTATATTTGCAGTATATTGAATACTGTGCAATTTTTTTAAAAGAGCTACATATAGCAACACGAATTAAACAATGTTAAGGGAAAAGAGCACATTGCTATGTAATACCTGTGGAAGATACATATCATGTACTATCTTTAAAGAAAAATACCTGAAGCAAATCAAATAAAATGTTAAGATTTGTTAAAGGTAGATGGTAGGTACATGGGTTCTGGTTGCGTTATTTTTTATGTTCAAGATCTTTCATTAAAGAATTGTTTTTTAAAAGGTTGGTAGAAACCACAAGAAATCAGTGTCTCTGAAGGTAGACCATCCCAGTCAACAGATACTGTGATCCCAATAATAAAATCAATGAAAAGCATGAGAAGAGAATGCGGCCTCAAACTATAACCAACCCAGACTGAAAGGGTCCGTGGAAACGATGTTAAGGGAGGACACGTACTCAAGTCCGCAAAACCTGTGCTGCTGTGAAAACCAGAGCCCAGAACAAGCAGACCCCGTGGGCTGACTTACAGGCAACAAAAAGATTCATCTGGGCAATTCCAGAGCAAGCCCAGGAAGGGACAGACCCGCTCTTAGGAAGAGATCATGTGTGGTTAAACTGTAACACAGAAAGGACAGAATCTGGTTATAAACTTTTTGAATCCAGAAGTATATCATTCATCTAGTCCAGTGATTTTTCAGCCACCTATTTCAGAACCATAGAGGTTCATGCTGGAGATGTGCGTAGGGGTGAGGATGCAGGGCTGCAGCCCTTCACCCCCATTTCAGCCAGAAACCTTTTTGCATTCTGGGAGAGAACTACTGATCCTGTGCAAGCTCCTCATTTTTTACAGGTTGTATGTGACTTGGGAGAGGTCAGAGGGAAGGTAAGTAGTGGAGGTGGTCTGCGTGTCAGCACACTGCTTTTTCTGCTGTGTAACAGTGCCTCCCCTACTCTGCTTCCATCTTCTCTAGCAAAAGCAACAAAATAAATGGTGGTGTGCCAACATGGAAAGCTATAACTAGTACCATGAGAAAGGCAGGGTGGCCAAAGAGACACCTAAAAAATTACATCCTAAGGTGTGAAATGTACAGGTATGATTTATATCAAAATCATTGGTAGTGGCCCTTTCCTTTCTCCTTTACTCCCTCCCACCTTCCTTTCTTTCTTTTGTGGAATTCTCTCTGTTCCCATTAACTCTTAACTATGAAAATTATCATACATACACACAAAAAAACTGAAAGAGCAATGCAATGAATATTCATATACTCTCTGCCTAAACAGTTAAGATTTTGCCATATAGCTTTTCCTCTCTCCTCTGTGTATTTATTTTTGTTTTTGTTGAATCCTTTGAAAATAAGTTGCAAAATACTTCATCATGCATTTCCTAAGAGCAGCCACAATACCACCATACACCTAAGAAAGGTATCAATAATACTATACTGTCATCGAAGATCCAAGTCACAGTCAGATTTCCCCAGTTGTCCCAAGAATGTCTTTTCTGGCTAGTTTTTGTCGCCATTGTTTTGGGTTTTTAATTTATTTTCCTGAGCCAGTATCCATCATCATTCCCCATTGCATTGGTTGTTATGCAGAAGAAGGAAGACATTTTCTACAAAGACAAAAATCTAAAAACAAAACAAAAGGAACGAAACAGCAGTAGACTCATAGACACTGAGAAGTGACTGGTGATTACCACTGGGGAGGGGTTGGGGTGGGTGGGTGGAGTGAGTGAGGGGTTAAAGAGGCACAAGTATGTCAATCATAACATAAGCTGGTCACAGGGATGAAGTGCAGCATGGAGAATACAGTCAATGGTCCTGTAACATCTTCCCACGTTGACAGACTGTAACTGCACTGTCAGTATAAGGATTTAATAAAGCATATAACTGATGAATCACTGTGTTGTATACATGAAACCAATATAATAAATATTGTATATGAACTATACTTCAATTTTTAAAAAGCCATTAAATAACAAAAAAAATCTAATGTGGAATTGGACCCAGGTTACTTTTCTCACCGCTGTCTTCCTTCATGTTTGTATATTCCAGGCTGAGATTCTTACCAGCCTCACAGTCAGCAGCCCTGCAGATGCCGGGAAGGCTGCGCTGGTGCTCATGGAGAGGGGCTGCCAGGTCGTGGTCATCACCTTAGGCGCTGAGGGCTGTGTGGTGGTGTCACAGACAGAACCTGTCCCAAAGCACATTCCCACCAACAAAGTCAAAGCTGTGGATACCACGGTAGGTTTTAAAATTCCAAATCATTTTGGCCCTTGAAAACATCAATATACTGAGCCTGAATTTTGGATCTCTATCTCAGAGATAAAGGCCCTAGAAGGTAATATGGTGGGAGAGAAGAACAACCAGACAGGAGAACTGTGTTTCATCCTTCTCTAACCTGTGGAAGTTTGTACAAGTCACTTAACCTCTTGAGCCTCAGTTTACTCATTCAGAATACTGGGATTCTCTGTAGCAGTCAAATTATATTAGTAATTTTATACCAGTCAGTAAAATTATACCTGTACTACCTATATTCATTCATTGATTCACTCACTCACTAAATAAGTACTTATTGAATACCTATTATATGCCAGTCATATCTTAGATGCTGGGCTATACTGATGATCAAGACAAAGTCTGCCCTTGTGGGGCTTAGATTGTAGACAGTAACCAAATCACCAGGGTTTACAGGCCTCTCCTCTAGAATGAAATAGCAAGGAGCACTGGTTCACAGAGCTCATTCTTTGATGCAACAAATAATGACAACTAACATTTACTACATGCTTACTGTGTCTCCTTTGCATACATCTCATGTAATCTTTTCAACAATTATATGAAATAGGTTGCATTATCCTCACTTTTCAGATTTAGAGTCTTGCTTAGGATCATGAAGCTAGGAAGTAACCGAGTTGGGCATTCAAAATGAGGCCTGCAGACTCCACAGGTGCATCTTGTGTTAGGTGCTGTGCAAGACAAGCAGGTTAAATGGACAAGAGCAGAGATGAAAAGGAAACAAGTTAGAAAAAAAGGCTCAGGGTTCCTCTAGAGCTGAGGAAACAAAAATTATTCCTTTATGGCCTAGAATTCAGAAGAGCTGGTTAGAAAACTAAGTAAACATCAGGAATGTGTAACTAGAGTTGAGGAAGAATAAAAAATGTAGGGTTTTGATTTATAAGAAGCTGATATATAGTTCTTTATAAAATACATTTTGATTTTTATGCTTAGAAAAGACTTTAAGATGTGGGTCTAATTTATTAAAAAAGAAGCCCAAGAGGATCTGATGAAGTTTTGGATATGAATATGCTTCAAAAAATACATGGGTGTAAGGAATAATAATGGGAAATTACACCCTGGTTGCCTTTCAAAATGTGCTTTATCGGGTATTTGATAAATTGTACTTGGTGGTGTTATTCTTTTCATATAGAGTCATGTCTGAAGCCATTAGTTTTTTCCTGTTTTGTCGAGGACAGTAACCTGAGTTGAGAGGTACCTTACTAGTTCTAAAATCAATCCTGAATTAGACTAAAACTGTTGCAGATCCTGAACTAAAGCAGAAGAATTTATTTTTCTCTAGCTAAAAATGAAACAAAGGGTCTTCATAAAGATGTTGGACCCTGTGATCACCGAGAAATGGCTCATCCTCTGCTTCCAGCATCTGTGTCAGTCACAGCTCCTCTTGCTGTGAGCACCAGGGGCACGGTGCAAGTGAGCTTACAAAGAAAAGGAGTTTTTTTGGTGCACATAACTGGGAAGTTCAAAGTATGGCAGAATACAAAGGCTAACCCATGTCGAGACTCATTTGCTCACTCTCCCCACCACCTCTGCTTGCCTTGCAGTGGGCTTTGAGCTCAGGTGGGCCCCCTCCTGGTGGTGCTCCCTGGCAGCTCCCTGCCTGCACTGTGTCCCACATTATAGTCCCACCCAACATGTCCGGTGAAAATCAAAGAACTCTTACCAGAGGATGATAAGTGGATGCTGGTCAGACAAGAACAACCCATGCCCACCACAGAATATTCATGTGGAAATGCAGTGCTTGGACATGGTACTAAATGAAGAAACTAGCCTTGGGCATGTTTAAATTCGAATCAGTAGAAATACTCCGCAAGAGTAATTTCACGTTGAAGGACTGGATTTCATAGAACATGACAGATTATAACTTTGAGCATCTTAAATACAATAATGGGTATCAAGGAGGTTTTCACACTTCGTTGATACTGTTTTGTGTCCCTTCATTTGGTTTCTTAGCACTTGCAGTTAGTTTTTAGGTTTCAGTATGATTGTCATTATCAGAATGTGGAAAGAGAATGTATTATGTGGTATATATGAATACAGTTATCTTTGGAAATTACCATCTGTTATTCTGTATCTGCTACATAGTCGGCATATAGTAAATGTTTAATGAATAAATAAATGAACTAACAAATGAACAAATTGGCCTTAAAGAACATTGATAACAAATGAACAAACTCTGGACCTTAAGAAAATTGATCTCTAAAACTTGATAGAAAAAAGAAAAACTTGAAAAGTTTAATGTCTTATGGATGGCTTCTAATAATAATAAGGTAAATTCATGCTTTAAGACAATCCCTCTGCTCCACACACAAACCACTGATATATAAATAGAAAAAGAGAAAAGGGAAAGATACTCACAAGATCAAAAACAAGGTAACTCCACCAATCAAGAGTGGAACAGAACCACAGAGCATTCAGCCTGGGTGGGCTATATTCAGTCCCACAAGCAGACATAGGTGGTAGGAAATTTTCCTCCTACGGGTAATGGTACTAAAAATGTGCCACTCAGGAGAGCTTGGGACAGTGCCCACTGCTCGAAACCAGAGATGCTGGACTAGTCTTCCCTGCTAAAGAAAAAAAGGTGGAGGAAGCTGCTACACTTACTCTGCGAGACGACAACACATCTAAGGTTCCCTACAGGAGGATACTGCCTCTGATCAGGAAGGAACCAAGCCAGCTGCTCACTTAGTGACTGGATTGGGAACATCACTAGTAACACAGCACAGGGAGTCCATACTGCCTATGTAACACCTGGTTTAGAGACCTCAGGGGCCTGATGGATGCACCTATTAACCACTGGACAGACAGGCATAGCCTGGTGGGAGCTGAAGTGTGAAGACCCTCCAACTCAGTGAAGAAGCATAAGGCTGCAAGAGTTCTCTTCTCCCACATCAACAACCTAAAGATGAACTTGCCCAAGATGAAATTCACATAATAAAGTGAGGTGAAAAGGCCTTTAAAATAAGTGTGATTAAGATTCTCATTCATTAAAAAAGAAGAAATTGTGAAAGAAAAACAGAATCAAAGACATGTCAATATGAAAATCAGTCAATTAGAGGTCATGAAAATGAAAAATAGCCACTAAAGTGGCTTTTTTTAAGCACTCATTAGAAAGACAAACATCAGACTGCAATGAAGAATTAATGAGTTGAAAGAGAATCTTAATCAATTCACCCAGAAGTGGAAAACTCAATTCATCCAGAAAGCAGCACAGAAAAAAAATAAAATATTAAAGAGGAATTTAGAGAAATGAATGACAGCTTGAGAAACTCCAACATACATCTAATTAGAGTGAACAAAGAAGAGAATGGAGGGGACTGAAGAGAAGCAGTATTAGAGGAAAAACTGCAAAGTGTTTTCTAGAATTGAAAAAAGGCATGCATCCCCGTGTTTTAAACATACCACGTGAGAGAAATAGCTATAACTCCCTAATAACATACATTTTATGTGAAACTGCATAAAATCCAGGGTAAACACAAAAATTTTTGTAAACAGCCAGAGGAAAAATTATCCTATAAGATTACATATAAATGATTAGAATATTCAATAATCCATTGCTTGTAATAGGGGAAAATGGAAAAACTAAAAGTGTTCATAAAAAGGAGGACAGATTTTGTAAATAGAGTATATTTGCAGTATATTGAATACTGTGCAATTTTTTTAAAAGAGCTACATATAGCAACACGAATTAAACAATGTTAAGGGAAAAGAGCACATTGCTATGTAATACCTGTGGAAGATACATATCATGTACTATCTTTAAAGAAAAATACCTGAAGCAAATCAAATAAAATGTTAAGATTTGTTAAAGGTAGATGGTAGGTACATGGGTTCTGGTTGCGTTATTTTTTATGTTCAAGATCTTTCATTAAAGAATTGTTTTTTAAAAGGTTGGTAGAAACCACAAGAAATCAGTGTCTCTGAAGGTAGACCATCCCAGTCAACAGATACTGTGATCCCAATAATAAAATCAATGAAAAGCATGAGAAGAGAATGCGGCCTCAAACTATAACCAACCCAGACTGAAAGGGTCCGTGGAAACGATGTTAAGGGAGGACACGTACTCAAGTCCGCAAAACCTGTGCTGCTGTGAAAACCAGAGCCCAGAACAAGCAGACCCCGTGGGCTGACTTACAGGCAACAAAAAGATTCATCTGGGCAATTCCAGAGCAAGCCCAGGAAGGGACAGACCCGCTCTTAGGAAGAGATCATGTGTGGTTAAACTGTAACACAGAAAGGACAGAATCTGGTTATAAACTTTTTGAATCCAGAAGTATATCATTCATCTAGTCCAGTGATTTTTCAGCCACCTATTTCAGAACCATAGAGGTTCATGCTGGAGATGTGCGTAGGGGTGAGGATGCAGGGCTGCAGCCCTTCACCCCCATTTCAGCCAGAAACCTTTTTGCATTCTGGGAGAGAACTACTGATCCTGTGCAAGCTCCTCATTTTTTACAGGTTGTATGTGACTTGGGAGAGGTCAGAGGGAAGGTAAGTAGTGGAGGTGGTCTGCGTGTCAGCACACTGCTTTTTCTGCTGTGTAACAGTGCCTCCCCTACTCTGCTTCCATCTTCTCTAGCAAAAGCAACAAAATAAATGGTGGTGTGCCAACATGGAAAGCTATAACTAGTACCATGAGAAAGGCAGGGTGGCCAAAGAGACACCTAAAAAATTACATCCTAAGGTGTGAAATGTACAGGTATGATTTATATCAAAATCATTGGTAGTGGCCCTTTCCTTTCTCCTTTACTCCCTCCCACCTTCCTTTCTTTCTTTTGTGGAATTCTCTCTGTTCCCATTAACTCTTAACTATGAAAATTATCATACATACACACAAAAAAACTGAAAGAGCGATGCAATGAATATTCATATACTCTCTGCCTAAACAGTTAAGATTTTGCCATATAGCTTTTCCTCTCTCCTCTGTGTATTTATTTTTGTTTTTGTTGAATCCTTTGAAAATAAGTTGCAAAATACTTCATCATGCATTTCCTAAGAGCAGCCACAATACCACCATACACCTAAGAAAGGTATCAATAATACTATACTGTCATCGAAGATCCAAGTCACAGTCAGATTTCCCCAGTTGTCCCAAGAATGTCTTTTCTGGCTAGTTTTTGTCGCCATTGTTTTGGGTTTTTAATTTATTTTCCTGAGCCAGTATCCATCATCATTCCCCATTGCATTGGTTGTTATGCAGAAGAAGGAAGACATTTTCTACAAAGACAAAAATCTAAAAACAAAACAAAAGGAACGAAACAGCAGTAGACTCATAGACACTGAGAAGTGACTGGTGATTACCACTGGGGAGGGGTTGGGGTGGGTGGGTGGAGTGAGTGAGGGGTTAAAGAGGCACAAGTATGTCAATCATAACATAAGCTGGTCACAGGGATGAAGTGCAGCATGGAGAATACAGTCAATGGTCCTGTAACATCTTCCCACGTTGACAGACTGTAACTGCACTGTCAGTATAAGGATTTAATAAAGCATATAACTGATGAATCACTGTGTTGTATACATGAAACCAATATAATAAATATTGTATATGAACTATACTTCAATTTTTAAAAAGCCATTAAATAACAAAAAAAATCTAATGTGGAATTGGACCCAGGTTACTTTTCTCACCGCTGTCTTCCTTCATGTTTGTATATTCCAGGCTGAGATTCTTACCAGCCTCACAGTCAGCAGCCCTGCAGATGCCGGGAAGGCTGCGCTGGTGCTCATGGAGAGGGGCTGCCAGGTCGTGGTCATCACCTTAGGCGCTGAGGGCTGTGTGGTGGTGTCACAGACAGAACCTGTCCCAAAGCACATTCCCACCAACAAAGTCAAAGCTGTGGATACCACGGTAGGTTTTAAAATTCCAAATCATTTTGGCCCTTGAAAACATCAATATACTGAGCCTGAATTTTGGATCTCTATCTCAGAGATAAAGGCCCTAGAAGGTAATATGGTGGGAGAGAAGAACAACCAGACAGGAGAACTGTGTTTCATCCTTCTCTAACCTGTGGAAGTTTGTACAAGTCACTTAACCTCTTGAGCCTCAGTTTACTCATTCAGAATACTGGGATTCTCTGTAGCAGTCAAATTATATTAGTAATTTTATACCAGTCAGTAAAATTATACCTGTACTACCTATATTCATTCATTGATTCACTCACTCACTAAATAAGTACTTATTGAATACCTATTATATGCCAGTCATATCTTAGATGCTGGGCTATACTGATGATCAAGACAAAGTCCGCCCTTGTGGGGCTTAGATTGTAGACAGTAACCAAATCACCAGGGTTTACAGGCCTCTCCTCTAGAATGAAATAGCAAGGAGCACTGGTTCACAGAGCTCATTCTTTGATGCAACAAATAATGACAACTAACATTTACTACATGCTTACTGTGTCTCCTTTGCATACATCTCATGTAATCTTTTCAACAATTATATGAAATAGGTTGCATTATCCTCACTTTTCAGATTTAGAGTCTTGCTTAGGATCATGAAGCTAGGAAGTAACCGAGTTGGGCATTCAAAATGAGGCCTGCAGACTCCACAGGTGCATCTTGTGTTAGGTGCTGTGCTAACGACAAGCAGGTTAAATGGACAAGAGCAGAGATGAAAAGGAAACAAGTTAGAAAAAAAGGCTCAGGGTTCCTCTAGAGCTGAGGAAACAAAAATTATTCCTTTATGGCCTAGAATTCAGAAGAGCTGGTTAGAAAACTAAGTAAACATCAGAAATGTGTAACTAGAGTTGAGGAAGAATAAAAAATGTAGGGTTTTGATTTATAAGAAGCTGATATATAGTTCTTTATAAAATACATTTTGATTTTTATGCTTAGAAAAGACTTTAAGATGTGGGTCTAATTTATTAAAAAAGAAGCCCAAGAGGATCTGATGAAGTTTTGGATGTGAATATGCTTCAAAAAATACATGGGTGTAAGGAATAATAATGGGAAATTACACCCTGGTTGCCTTTCAAAATGTGCTTTATCGGGTATTTGATAAATTGTACTTGGTGGTGTTATTCTTTTCATATAGAGTCATGTCTGAAGCCATTAGTTTTTTCCTGTTTTGTCGAGGACAGTAACCTGAGTTGAGAGGTACCTTACTAGTTCTAAAATCAATCCTGAATTAGACTAAAACTGTTGCAGATCCTGAACTAAAGCAGAAGAATTTATTTTTCTCTAGCTAAAAATGAAACAAAGGGTCTTCATAAAGATGTTGGACCCTGTGATCACCGAGAAATGGCTCATCCTCTGCTTCCAGCATCTGTGTCAGTCACAGCTCCTCTTGCTGTGAGCACCAGGGGCACGGTGCAAGTGAGCTTACAAAGAAAAGGAGTTTTTTTGGTGCACATAACTGGGAAGTTCAAAGTATGGCAGAATACAAAGGCTAACCCATGTCGAGACTCATTTGCTCACTCTCCCCACCACCTCTGCTTGCCTTGCAGTGGGCTTTGAGCTCAGGTGGGCCCCCTCCTGGTGGTGCTCCCTGGCAGCTCCCTGCCTGCACTGTGTCCCACATTATAGTCCCACCCAACATGTCCGGTGAAAATCAAAGAACTCTTACCAGAGGATGATAAGTGGATGCTGGTCAGACAAGAACAACCCATGCCCACCACAGAATATTCATGTGGAAATGCAGTGCTTGGACATGGTACTAAATGAAGAAACTAGCCTTGGGCATGTTTAAATTCGAATCAGTAGAAATACTCCGCAAGAGTAATTTCACATTGAAGGACTGGATTTCATAGAACATGACAGATTATAACTTTGAGCATCTTAAATACAATAATGGGTATCAAGGAGGTTTTCACACTTCGTTGATACTGTTTTGTGTCCCTTCATTTGGTTTCTTAGCACTTGCAGTTAGTTTTTAGGTTTCAGGAAAGGAAAAACACAATGAGAGTTCAGAGGAGGAACAGATTACTTGATGCTTAGAGACAGGAGATGGAGAATGGGATCAGGAAGATCAGAGCACAAGAAAGCTGCAGGCTTCATGGGCCATATGCGTACATGTTCTGTCACAGCTAGACCAGGGTAGCATGGAAGCATTCATCAACAACTACTGAATTAAACTGGTATTAATCTAAACTAGACTATTTTACATTAAGGCATTAATTGAAATAACCAGTGCAATCACGATGAACAGAACTCAAAAAAAAAAAAACTTAAACAAGGGAATTAAAATGGTACACTAGAAAATATCTAACACAAAAAAAGGTAGTAATGGAGGAATAGAAAAACAAAGAAGCTACTAGAAGATCAGCTATTGCAAACTGAGGGATAAAAAACTAAGACAGATGCAGATATGGGATTCAGGAAACAGATGGTGCAACATAGGAGAGAAGTCAGGGAGATGAAGGACAATTCCAGGATAATACCTCTGCAGCAAGCCTATAATCAGTTAGCCCAGATGTAGGCAGGAGAGTAAAGGTATCTGGGAGGAATGTCTCCCAGTAATTTTTTTAAAAAAAGGAAAAAGAAAACAATCGTTGAATATCTATGTATTTGAATATGCCCAGAGATTTTGTTGACTTACAGAATTTGAGGATGAAGTAGTAATTAATCTATAGAAAACTGAGGGAATGGGGGAAAAATGAGGCAAATTTTTTCCTCTAGGTCTTCTGAGTTTCAGGGTAAAAGTAAGACTAAAGTAAACATAATCTTTGTATGCCACACAGCTATGAATCCATAGTCAAAACAATGTAAAAGTCGATCATTGATCGAACCCAAAATGGAGATTATAATCATATTGTAAAAAGGCAGGTTAAAGTGAGTGTGTAGTTGTGTGCACATGGGGGAAAGTAAAATAATTAAATGCTAATTTTCCATAATTAGAAGTCAAGCAGTAATATCTAAAACTGATAGTAAAAAGAACAGCAGTATAAGCATATTACCAGAAATAGAAGATAAATTCCAGAACAAAATGCTAAAAGAATTTAAAATATTTGCCTCATGGAAATGGAAGTAGAGAGAGATGGGCCATCTACACTTTAAGCCTATCTTTTTAAACTATGTATTTGGGTGGCTTTTTTTTTAATGACAAAACACAACAAGCCACTAAAATGGCTATAATCAAAAACAGATGATAACAAGTGCTGATGAGGATGTGGAGGAACTAGAATCCTCAAACATTCATGGAAAGAATGTAAGATGTTGTGACCACTTTGGAAAACAGTTTACAAGTGCTTCAAAAGGATCAATTTAGAAATACAATATGACCCAGCAATTCTACTTCTAGGTATATACCCAGAAAAAATAAAAAACATATGTCCACACAAAAACTTGTACATGAGTGTTCATAGCAGCATTACTCATAATAGCCCAAAATTAGAAACAGCCCAAATTTTCAAAAGCAGATGATTGGATAAACAAATTGTGGTATATACATATAATAGAATATTATTCAGCCACAAAAAGGAATAGCGATACAAGCTATAGCATGGGTGAACATCCAATACATACTAAGTGAAAGAAGTCAGCCACATATTATATGCTTCCATTGATATGAAATAATCAGAGTAGGTAAATCTATAGAAACAGAAAGTAGATAAATGGTTGCCAGCAGCTGGGGAGAGGGGAGTAGATGGGGAGTGACTGCTAATAGGTATGGAGTTCCTCTTTGGGGTGATGAAAATGACCTGGAATTAGATAGTGGTGATGGTTGGACAACTTTGTGGATACACTAAAAACCACTGAATTGTACACTTGTAAAGGGTGAATTTATGTGAATTATATCACAATTTAGAAAACAAAGGTCAAACAACACTAACAAAATAATCCATCTAGGCACTTCACTGATGAATGGATCCCCTTATGACAAAGAACCTTCCACTTAATTGCTCTACTGAATCTACTGAATGGGCTCATCTACTGAATGGGCTCTCACTGTCCCCCCAGTGGGGTGGAGGTGACATAGAAAACAAGGGTAGTTATTTTCTGGATGTAGAATCTCCCTCAGCGTTTTTATGCTCTCTTTGTCTTCTTGTCCAGCACATCCATTACTAAAATTCTTGCCTGTTCAGCCTCTTCAGAGGTCCAATAAAGAGGAGATAGTTCACATGGTGAGGTGACGGACTCCCAGGGAGGCATTTTCTTCTGAACAAACGGCCTCCTTCCCTTTCCTGTCGGGCAGGGATTACTTGCTCTGTTAGTTTGTAACGTTCTCACTTTACCACTACTCCTAACCCCTTAACAATGTGCACCTTTTGGGAAAAAAAACCTGTTTTGCAAACTAAACATATACAATTTTCATTTGTCAATCACACCTCAATAAAGCTGGGAAAATAAATAAATAAATCAGGGATGGCAATGGATGGGGGAAAACATCTTGAGTTACTTGGCACACTGTCCACTTGGGACAGACAGCCTGCTCTGGAGGAGCCATTTCCCATTATACGGCAGTGCTTCTGCAGGCTGCTATATTCAATTTTGCCTCAGTGTTAATAGTTGGATATATCACTTCTATTTTTACATCCGTTTTTCCCGTTGTACTAGAGTGAGATGGTGGCAGTAGCTGCAGATGTCCTCAGCTCAGTTTGGAAGACATGACAGATGTGTCTCTTTTCCCATCTCAGTGTGTTATCTGAATCTCAGCCTGAAAATGCCAGAACGCTCATGTCCTCACTCTAGTCCTTCCAACCTGAAGGTTAGGGACTCTGCCTTCGTGTTCATGATTGCACTGAATAATCACTTCATAGAGTCATACGTGTTTAAGGATGGTAATATTTTAGGACTGTTGTGCTAGTGTGATATATTATATTAGCTGTCCTTGGCCTATAAGCTCTAAAATTCTCAATATATAAATTATTTTTCTACATGTAAATGGTTAAGTCTTAGAATCTACATTGA